TGGTTGGTTTGGTTAGGTTATAACAGTTTAATTTTATAATTAAAAATTATAAAATTGAATTTTAGACATTTGTAATTTTATTTTATGAACATAACTATTTTTCTTTATTAGTAAACCTTCATTCGATTGTTCATTATCAGCAAGTTTGGTTAGTTTGGTTAGGTTATGAAAGTTCTATAAAGAAACGATACGTTTTGACAGCGACGGTGATAGAGCAAACAATTTGCCACGAACAGTTCGGCTAAGCACGGTATGATGCGGAAGCGTTCGACACCAACCTAGAACTGAAGCTCCTTTCACACTATACGTTTTCGCTCGTACGAGTGTTAATCGTGCGGGCAGACGGTCGTGGGTCTGTTGCTTTCACACTATACGATTTGTAATCGTACGAGTATCGAAACCCCCCACTCCACCAGTACAGAGCTCATTGATACTTCAGTGGAAAGTTTTGTGGAGTATGGATCGGGAGCAAATTATTGCTGCGCTAATTATTTACAGACACAGGAAAAGAAATAAACGCGGCCGTCTGCACTGGGTACATCCCATAAATGTAAGACGTGAGGAAGTGGGCGTGTTTAATACATTATTCGAAGATTTGAGCAACGATTAAGCCAAGTTTTTTTTAACCATTTTCGTATGTTGAAAGAATCGTTCGACGAACTGCACAATTAGTTGAAAAGTGATCTTCAAAGAAGTAATACGACGTTCAGGAACTGCATTCAACCAGTTGAAATGCTGGCTGTGACTATATCGAGACAACTGAAACTAATTACAACAACTGAATAATACTATACAGTGCGCACAGGTAATTACTTAGTACTTTAAGAATGAGTACTACAGCAAAATATTAGTCGAAAATAATCAAAATCCTAAGAAACAATGGAACACAATCAAAACCCTTATTGGAGAAAATAAGAAAGATGCAGAACTTATTGTATTGAAAGGTGACGATAAAGAGTTAATTACAAGCCCTGAAGCAGTTGCAAATAAATTAAACAGATTCTTCTGTTCTATAGCAACGGAGTTGAGAGAAAGTATTATATTAGAACAACAGATAGTTCCCCAGCTAGTAAACGAATATAAACCCATGTTTCAGACAACTACATGTAACAATTCAATATTTTTCTATCCAACCTGCGAAAACGAGGTTATTGGCATAATCAAATCACTTAAAAACAGGAAAGCACCAGGATATGATAATATTACTCCTTTGATTATTAAGATAATTTCTACTTATATTGTTGAGGTTCTTGTTTTTTTAATAAATTTTAGTTTATATTCAGGTGAATTTCCCAATGATTTAAAAACAGCTATTGTAAAACCGTTATTCAAAAAGGGTGTTAAAACAGATCCAAGCAATTACAGACCAATTGCTCTTTTATCTATATTCTCTAAAATGTTTGAGAAAATAGTTAAGACTAGACTAATAAATTTTTTAGAAAAGTACAAATATTTTAGTGATGGGCAGTTTGGGTTCAGGAAAAAACTAAGCACTAATTCGGCGTTATTACATTTTATGAGTCAAGTGTATAGAGGTTTAAATGAAGGTAAATATTGTGCTGGCATTTTTGTCGACGTCATGAAAGCTTTTGATACTGTAGATCATGGTATTTTGTTGGATAGACTTCATGAAGCAGGGATAAGAGGTGTGCCTCATAAATGGTTTGCTTCTTATCTCACTGGACGTACTCAACGTACACGGGCGAACGGCGTAATTAGTGACCAAGGAACTGTATTACATGGCATTCCACAGGGATCTGTTCTATCTGGCCCTCTTTTTCTAATATACGTAAATAGCTTGTGTAATAGCCGTTTTAGAGGAAATTTAGTGGCTTTTGCGGATGACACTGCATTATTTTACAAATCGGATTCCATTGAAACTTTAAAATTAAATATTCAATACGATGTAAATGCTCTTCGATGGTGGTTTACCAACAACTTCATGGTAATGAGCCCAAAAACTAAATATGTAATTTTTAATCTATCAAGGAACATAAGTTTTATTACTCCGATAAAATACCACCAAACAAACTGCCAATCTACAAATTGTGATTGTCCTGTTGTTGAGCAGGTAGAGGAAATTAAATATCTGGGATTACACTTAGACTCAAAGATAAATTGGAAACGCCATATAGATTATGTTAAGAATAAACTAATACAATACGTCAGGATATTTTATATGTTAAAAAATATGTGTAATCAACGCCTACTCAGAAATATTTATTATGCGATGATAAATTCTAAATTGGAGTATGGTTTAGCTATCTATGGAGGAGCTTACTTTTCGTCAATTAAGCCATTAATTGTCTTGCAAAAAACCTTTATAAGGATAATTAGTAACAAATGTAGAACAGAACATGCAGCACCACTATTTAAAAAGTTAGAAATTTTGCCTTTGAGAAATCTATATATGTATAAAGTTTTACGAATATTTTATAAAAGAAGTGGAGATGAGGTTGAAACTATGACTGAAAGGAGAATAACATTAAGAAATAGGTATAATGCAATAGTTCCAAAACCAAATTTAACAGCTTTCAAGAAATGTTATTTATACCTTGCACCTAAAATGTTTAATGCTCTACCATCCAATCTCAAAACCATCTCAGAAGCAGATTTTTCTAGGCAGCTGTGGCCTTATTTATATGTTTGGAAAATGCTGAAATGTACTTTTATGGAATTTAGTATATATACAGTAGTATAGAAGTGACTAATATAGATAATAAGTAATATAAATACCTACTCTGTTGTATCATTTTTGTTTGTAAGTGTATTGACTTTTACTCTGTGCTGAAGAAGATCACTGTGTAGAACTCACTCTCACTGTATATATTATAACCAAGTGATATAAGTGACCGGACAAAACCGCCTCTTCGATTTTTAGAACATAAGATAGTGTATAAATCCACCAACATAGGTTTTTAACCTAAGGTGGTTATTGTTTTTTTCTTTTTCATGTGTAAATGTATTTTGTGTTGTGTATGGAAAAAACAATAAAGATTTCTTTAAAAAAAAAAATTAAACTCAATAACCAAACAATTAAACTGAAAAACGAAATTAAAACTATATAGCAAAAACGCTGCGAACTGCACTCGGGGAGGGCTCCCGCACGACTAACAACCGTGTAGTGTGAAAAGGGCCATATGGTCACATGGTCCACTAGCAGTAGACACGACTATTACTCGTGCGGGAGTCGGATACCAACCGTGTGCACCTACGGTCGCTACGCGGGTGAAAATCGTACACGGTTGGTAATCGTATAATGTGAAAGGGGCTATTAGCTCCAATGCGATACAACAAATGCGACTAATAACCGCACGAGCGAAAACGTATAGTGTGAAAGGAGCGTGACAGGTCCAACGATGTAAAAACTACTGGATTGCGCTCTCAGTAGCACTGCGGGCGCTGTTTTCGGTCTAGCTCCCCCCACCATCTACTGGCAGTAGCCGACGCAGCCCATACACTCACCATTGTAAAACGCGCCTTTTTAAGTTGCTGCTCTGTTTAAATATCTAATATATAAAATTCTCGTGTCACAGTGTTTGTCTGCAAACTCCTCCGGAACGACTTCACCGATCGTTATGAAATTTGGTGTGTAAATTCTGTAGGTATGCGAATCGGACGTAAACTATTTCCCGTTTCGAAATTCTTAAAAGGGCTCCGCCCCAGTGGCTCTGGAGTTTCCCATGTTAACCTTATGAGAAATGAAATTAATGAATCTTAACAGCTGTTTCAATTAAACAAGTTGGTTCTGTTCTATGATATTCAATAGCATTAAAGTTACAAGGATTACCAACAGGGTGCAGCACTATTATTTATTTTACATTTATGACAACAGCTAATTTGCAACCAAAAGGTGAGTGAGCGTAGCGAACGAACTTCAACCTGGAGACGAGTGAGCGTAGCGAACGAGCTAACCTGAAGGCAAATGAGCGCAGCGAACGAGCTCCAACCCAAAGGTGAGTGAGCGTAGCGAACGAACTTCAACCAGGACGTGATTGAGCGATGCGAACGAGATCATCTTGAAAATTAAACGTAACGGTACTTTCTTTCCATCGGTCTGTCTTAGGGGAAACCTATAACTTAGGCGATACGAAGTTCGCCGGGTCAGCTAGTATAGATATAAAATATTGCTAATACATGCCAAAAACTTTTACTATTCTAAACTTTATGTCTTCTTCTTTTCGTGCAAAAAATAACACATTTGAACTCTTAAAAACCCTACTACATTTGTCCAGTTTTTACCGCAAATCTATGCTTGACATTAACGTGATAGGCATACTTTTTTATGACCTATTTTGTAAGTTACATTGTCATTAAACATTGAAGGAAAAAATATCGCGTTTACGTCAAACATTTACGTTACCACTGCGGCAAAAACTTAGCAAAATTATTCTAAATGTTTATGTACTAGTTTTTCGATTAATAAAATAGAATTTCAAACACAAATATTGTACTTTATATTTCTCCTTTGTAATCACTTATTATTTTACCATGTACAATTTGGAACTAGCCATATCAGTTGTCTAAAAAACTCTACAAAACGGGTTTAGTGAATTTGTAGTTTTAAAGAATTCAAATGGGTTATTTTCTGCAAGAAACAAAACAGACATAAAAAGTTTAACTAGTAAAAAGAGTTTGACAAGCGTTAGCAATATTTTATCCCTATAAATTTCAACAGTGCAGCAAATAAAAAGTGTGTTTTATAATGGTGAATGTATGGGCTGCGTCGGCTTCTGCCAGTAGGTGGTAGGGGAAGCTCGACCGCGCGGCCAACACTGAGCCAGCGATCCATGAGTTGTTTATATCGTTGGACAGGTCAACCGACCGTGATTTAGAGGATTTCAGCCTGGGTCATGTGCCTACACCCGTAACAAAGCTACACAAGGCGTCTCACTCCATTCTGCACACATCCTTCACTCACATTCGGGTTAAAATACGGACCAAGGCGGCGCCCCCATCTCAAATAACAATGATAATAATAAATGCAAATCTGGTCCTACCTTCTTTGTCGTAGAGTCTGAAAGCTTCTCTCAACTCCTTCTGCATTGCCTCATCATCCTCTTCAACAATGAACTTAGCTGCTAATGTAACAAACTCGTCAAACTCCAATCGGCCTGATTCTGAAAACAATTAAATAGTTTTTTTTAGCGAATATCCCTATAGAGATGTAGGTGTTACTCCGTGGGTGGCACGGTAAGACCTAGGCCCGGGACCGATTTACTTTTTCATTTTTATGTCCCCAGAGGCCAAAAACACCATTAGTTCAAATATTTTTGTATAATATATATACATCCGTGAACGCTATAACTTAAGCAATTTTTGTCCGATTTTGATAAAATTTGGTTTTGAAGGTGTAAGGCGGGATAAACTTGAATGAGTTCGCGAACCAGCATAATCGCTCTATGGGAACGGGATATTACGGGGGGTTTTATGGGGTAAAAATTGGGTTTTCTCATTTTTGACCTTCAAAATACAAAATTACCCAATTTCTCTCTGGCCCTTTTAAAATAGCTTAAAAAACAAATAATTTTGAATATCAAAGTGTTTTTGTACAATAATTGGTAACGGAGAAAATTCAAAACATGGTTAATTTAAAATTCCCATGTAATACTTATTGAGAATATTGTAAATTGTTGTAGTTTGCTTGTTTATGGATATATTTTAATAAAACTTGGCAAATTTATTTATTTTATACTAAGCTATTAATATTTTACTAAAAAACACACTTTGTTAGTTTCCTTGTACTGTAGAAGTAAACCTAAGTACTCGTCAAACCTAATGTAATTTAAATGGATTTAATTGAAAATCAATTAAGACAAATGGCAATGCGCTTAGTCGGCAGGTTTGTTGCGGCGGGGGTATTTTTTATTAAATATAAATCATAATTTAATTTTATATTAACTATTAGTTTGTATTTTATCCCAAATGGGATCTTATCATACAAGAAAAGAATTGTGAATGAGGGTTCTTTTTAACACATTTTTATTAGATCGCTTTCTTGTCCAATACAAATTTTGCAATCAATTTTAAACTAACTTCCCGAGGAGTTAGAGAATTGAAACTTGAAATGTAGCTCACATATGGATGACAATGCAATACTATCATTTAATTTTCATATTTCACTTGGGCTACGCCCCATGTGCTTGTTTTTATTTGCTCGCTTTCTTGTCCGGTACAAATTTTGAAATAGATTTCAAACTCACTTCCTGTTGAGCTAGATACTTGAAACTTGGAAACATAGCTCACAAATGGATGACAATGCAATACTATATCATTTAATTTTCATATTTCACTTGGGCTATGCCCCATGTGCTTGTTTTTATTTGCTCGCTTTCTTGTCCAGTACAAATTTTAAAATAGATTTCAAACTAACTTCCTGTTGAACTAGAGACTTGAAACTTGGAAACATAGCTCACAAATGGATGACAATGCAATACTATATCATTTAATTTTCATATTTCACTTGGGCTATGCCCCATGTGCTTGTTTTTATTTGCTCGCTTTCTTGTCCAGTACAAATTTTAAAATAGATTTCAAACTAACTTCCTGTTGAGCTAGAGACTTGAAACATAGCTTACAAATCGATGAAAATGCAATACTATATCATTTTATTTTCATATTTCCCTTGGGCTAAGCCCCACGGGCTTCCAAATTTTCCATGTTTACATTTTGGAAGAATGTAAATACTGTATATCAATTGAAGTCAGCTGTAAATACTTAAATTTGACAGTTCAAAGAGCAGAGGTAAGTGGCACAGGTTCTGCTCCCGAGAGATTCTAAATATAAAATACCCTCGCCACAGCAAACCTGTTGACTAAGCTAATTTCCATTTGTCTGAATTCATTTTCAACAAAACCTATTTAAATAACATTAGGTTTAATGAATACCTTGGTTTGCTGCAACAAGGAAACTAATAAAATTTTTTTTTAATTTTTAAATTTTTAGTAAAATACTAGTGTCCCTGTTGCTCGAATTCGAGCAATTGCTATGTATTACATGCATTATTTTAAAACGAACAACAGTCATAATTTATAGTGACTTTAAAAGATTCGACTCAATGGAAATACTTAAGATCTACATAACAGATCGATATAATCAACATTTCTTGTAAGATAATTATAAGATAAGATAATTATCTTATCATTTTCCAAAAGCTGATCTTGTTTTTTAGTGTTTTCTACAAATAGCCTAACTCATTAGTTAATAATCCATTTCAACCAATTCAGTAAATGTTTGTAGCAAGCTATTAAATTAGCAAACTTGTTGACTGTCTAAAATTAACATACGTTCTTCTTCTCACTTTCAATTTCTGACAACAGCTGGAGTTTCATAACAATTTTTGTTTCCTATGTTAATCTTACGGAAAAATACGAAATTTTAAAGGGCCCCAGGGCCTCACTCTATAATTATTTCCCTAAAAAAGAAAGTTTCCTGCACAACTTCACGTTACGCTCTTTCCAATGACCCCAAAAAGGGGTGGCGGAATTGTACCCCCCTGGAATTGTACCCCCTGCAGGTTAGTGACGTCACGATGACGTCTCATTTTCTCGACCAAAACGGCGTGTACGGGCTGGAATTGTACCCCCCTCATAAAACTTTGATATTGTTATGCACGAGTGGTTTGATTAAATCCACTCGCATCTAAAAAACTGTACGGACCGGAATATTACCCCCCTGGAATTGTACCCCCTCAGTTAGAACTCTATTTTATTTGGCCAGTGTACGGGGTGGAATTGTACCCCCCTGGAATTGTACCCCCGGCAGTCTAGCCCTTCTTATAGGTCTTATAGGACCGGAATTGTACCCCCCTGGAATTGTACCCCCTGGTGACCGCAGAAGAAGATGTACGGCCCGGAATTGTACCCCCTGGAATTGTACCCCCCCATTTCACCCAGGAGCCTGTCTATTATGATTACCAAGTAAAATCAAAACAATAGTTATGTTGGATATTAGAGGGGAATCACACGAAAGTGAACTGAACCATGTTACCCGAAACCTAATGAATTGCTTGTTGTGAAAGGATATTCTAAGAAACTGTAAATTAAGGCCATTCCGAGTGCGAGATGCCTAACAGACTTCTTTGTACTTTATTCATTAATATTTTCTTAACCTTCCCAAGTAGGCTACTAACTGTTTATAGGTTAGCTTAAATTCACAAAGGTTAAAACTTTGACAAACCGTGAAATACTTTGTACCAGATACCTACAACTAAATTTTACAACAGGTATTTTGCCCACCTTTGCCATGTTACCGAATGAACAATAATGCATATTATGTTTGAATGAACAAAAATGAAATACATTAACTTCTTTTCACGGTCATATTAAATTAAGTTGAAAAAAGTTACGTATATAAATAACCATTCCATTCTTATAGCATAGTTATTGTATACAAACTAGTTTAGCTTAGTTATTAGGCCTATGTGCAGTAATCAAAAGGTAAGTATTTCAAATGTATATAACTAAGCCGAAATTCGCTGCTTGCGACTCCTCTTGAAAACAAAGTTTGTAAGGATTAACGGTAACAGCGGTTTTGTTTGGAAGCAGCTAATAGTATTTGTGTTTTTACGAAATATTGATTACTGGACTATGACAATATTGACTCTGCTTAAAATGTACAGATGTAGATTTGTAATTCATATTGTTTCGGTTTTCAATTCTGTATGTTTTATTTTCAATATTTTAATAAATGTATGTTCTTAAATTTAAATCTATAAAATAAATTTAATAAAATAAATTTAAGAACATACATTTATTAAAATATTGAAAATAAAACATACAGAATTGAAAACCGAAACAATATGAATTACAAATCTACATCTGTACATTTTAAGCAGAGTCAATATTGTCATAGTCCAGTAATCAATATTTCGTAAAAACACAAATACTATTAGCTGCTTCCAAACAAAACCGCTGTTACCGTTAATCCTTACAAACTTTGTTTTCAAGAGGAGTCGCAAGCAGCGAATTTCGGCTTAGTTATATACATTTGAAATACTTACCTTTTGATTACTGCACATAGGCCTAATAACTAAGCTAAACTAGTTTGTATACAATAACTATGCTATAAGAATGGAATGGTTATTTATATACGTAACTTTTTTCAACTTAATTTAATATGACCGTGAAAAGAAGTTAATGTATTTCATTTTTGTTCATTCAAACATAATATGCATTATTGTTCATTCGGTAACAAATTATGAACAGCTATTACTGGCAAAGGTGGGTAAAATACCTGTTGTAAAATTTAGTTGTAGGTATCTGGTACAAAGTATTTCACGGTTTGTCAAAGTTTTAACCTTTGTGAATTTAAGCTAACCCATAAACAGTTAGTAGCCTACTTGGGAAGGTTAAGAAAATATTAATGAATAACGTACAAAGAAGTCTGTTAGGCATCTCGCACTCGGAATGGCCTTAATTTGCAGTTTCCCGTACACGCCGTTTTGGTCGAGAAAATGAGACGTCATCGTGACGTCACTAACCTGCAGGGGGTACAATTCCAGGGGGGTACAATTCCGCCACCCCTTTTTGGGGTCATTGGAAAGAGCGTAACGTGAAGTTGTGCAGGAAACTTTCTTTTTTAGGGAAATAATTATAGAGTGAGGCCCTGGGGCCCTTTAAAATTTCGTATTTTTCCGTAAGATTAACATAGGAAACAAAAATTGTTATGAAACTCCAGCTGTTGTCAGAAATTGAAAGTGAGAAGAAGAACGTATGTTAATTGTAGACAGTCAACAAGTTTGCTAATTTAATAGCTTGCTACAAACATTTACTGAATTGGTTGAAATGGATTATTAACTAATGAGTTAGGCTATTATTTGTAGAAAACACTAAAAAACAAGATCAGCTTTTGGAAAATTATAAGATAATTATCTTATCTTATAATTATCTTACAAGAAATGTTGATTATATCGATCTGTTATGTAGATCTTAAGTATTTCCATTGAGTCGAATCTTTTAAAGTCACTATAAATTATGAATGTTGTTCGTTTTAAAATAATGCATGTAATACATAGCAATTGCTCGAATTCGAGCAACAGGGACACTAGTATTTTACTAAAAAAATACAATTTATTAGTTTCCTTGTTGCAGCAAACCAAGGTATTCATTAAACCTAATGT